GGGTCCCGGTCCGCCTCGGCAGAGCGCCAGCAGCGGCGCCAGCAGCGCGGCCCGCACCGCCGCCATGGCCCCGTCCGCCCCGCACCGCCCGCTCCGCGGCGCCCCCTGCCGGCACGGAGGAGCCACCGCACCGCGACCACCCACACCCCACAGCCCCTGCCGCCAGGGGGCGGGCGAGAGCCGGGAGGGGGAGGGGACCGGGATGGGAAGTGGCACCGGGATAGGGATAGGGATATAGGGATAGGGAGATAAGGATAGGGATAGGGATATAGGGATATAGGGATATTGGGATAGGGATATAGGGGTAGGGATAGGGATAGAGATAGGGATAGGGATAGGGATATAGGGATAGGGATATAGGGATAGGGGTAGGGATAGGGAGAGAGAGAAGGATATAGGGAGAGGGATAGGGATGAGGAGGGGGATGGAAACAGGGACAGGGAGAGGATCTAGGACAGGGACAGGGATGAGGACAGGCACTGGGACAGGGACAAGGGCCAGGATCAGGACCAGGACGGGGACAGGCTCCAGGACAGAGACAGGGACAGGGATAGGGGTAGGGACCAGGGCCAGGATGGGGATGAGGACAAGAACCGGGAGAGGCACCAGGAGAGGGACAGGGAGAGAGACAGGGATTGGGAAAGGGATAACGTCTGGGACCGGGATGGGAATGGGCACCTGGACAGGGAGGGTGATGGGGAGAGGCACCAGGCTGGGGACGGGGACAGGGACAAGCAAAGGGACCGGGAGAGGCACTGGGAGAGGGACAAGGATCAGGGGCCAGGGTGGGCACAGGGACCAGGACAGGGAGTGGGGCCGGGACAGGGACCAGCACGGACACAGGTACCACGGCTGGCACCAGGATAGGGAGCATAACATGGACCAGCACCGAGACAGGGATGGGCAGCAGGACAGGGACTAGGACAGGGACAGGGATGGGCAGCAGGACAGGAAACAGGATCTGAAGCCACGGATGTCCCATGGAGCCATGGCAGAGAGCCTGGGACACAGCCGGGTGCTGGGACAGGGACAACATACCAGGACGCAGAAGGGGACTGGCACCAAGAGAGAGACAGGAACAGGGACAGGGGCAGCGCCAGGTGTGGGGGCACAGCACCCATGGTCCCCCACGGCCCCGCTTCCCTGGGGACACAGGGACACACCACAGGGGACACACACAGCCCCGCAGGGGACACACACGGACACCCCCATCTGTGCCCCCCACAGCCGTTGCGCGTGCCCAGGTGACAGGGGCACACGCCGACACCCGAGTACCCCCAAATCCAACCGCCCCCCTCCCACCGACACCCCTCAGCTGTCCCCGTGTCGGGGGGTGCCAGCCAGCCCTGCCAGTGCCACCATCCCAGCCCCACTCCGGCCACGTGTGCCCGGCACGTGTGCCCGGGGGGGGGATTTGCCGGGAGGATTAGCTGCCGCACGGGCCCCGCCGCTGACCTGCTTTTGGCAGGGGCCAGGCCGGGGACAGGGACTCGGTGTCACCACAGGACGGGTCTGGGTGTGCCCGCAGTGTCCCCCGTGTCCCAACCGTGTTGAAACCGTGGGGGTTTAATGGCGGGGTGGGCAGGGCCCCTTCCGCCCACGGCCGGCACCCGGAGCCGGTTTAACCGCATGGCGAAGCATCCCTGCTCCCGCGGGCTCGGCGGGGCCCTACGCAACGGCCTGGAAAACCCTCCGGCTTCGGGGACGGGATGGGGAAAGACGGTCACTGACGTGGGGCCCTGGGTGGCTTTGGTGGAGGAGACCGAAATGGGAGCCTGGGGGGTTCTGTGGTGAGCGCTGCCCCACGGAGGGGATGGACAGGGGGATGTGAACATTGTGGGACATGCGTGGGGTGTGACTGGCTCTGTGGGGCATTCATGGCTTCATGGGACATCCACTGCTTCATTAAACCCTTTTAGCACCATGGGACACGGAGGGACAGCGAGAGGGCCGCAGGACACCCATGGCTGTGTGGGACGTGCATCACTTCATGGGATACCCATGGCTTCAAGGGATACATATGGCTCCATGGCACTCCTATGGTTCCATGGGACACCCAGAGGTCCTTGGGACACAGGTGGCTCCATGGGATGTTGACAACTCCATGGGACATCCATGGCTCCATGGGACACATGTGGCTTCACAGGACACATATGGTTTCATAGGACATCCGTGGTTCCATGGGATACACGTATCTCTAGGGCACAGCCACGGCTCCAAGGAACATTCATGGTTCCATGGGACATCCATTGGGCCGTGGGACACAAATGGCTCCACGGGACACACACAGCTCCATGGGACACACACGGCTCCATGGGACACGCACAGCTCCATGGGACATCCATGGGTCCAGGGGGACACATGGCTCTATAGCACCCTCTCCCCCCATAGCCCCCAAACCCTCCAGTAGCCCCTATACGTCCCGTGCCCCTCCATACCC